ATATTGCGCAGTTGTGTTTTAATAACACGCCTTTGAAACCACTGATTTTCTCTTTTAACATTTCTGGTGGTTACTTGGAGGTTCACAGTATGAATTAAAGACAGGAAATGTTTTGAGCACCTTAGGTTAGCGCGCTGAAGTACAGCTACTGAAACACTCTTGCCTCCGTGCTGCTCTGAAGAGTGAAGTCTTAGCCAGAATAAAGGAGGGAGTGAGATTCCTTGAAACATCTGTGAATCTGGAAGAATAATAAGAGCTACCGGAAAACAATGCCAACTACCACCTTCTGCTCTGAAATGAAAACAAAAATGATCTAAAGGAAATAATCCATTAGGAAACATACTGTAATGCAATGGTTCAAACTTATTATCTGTGACTCAGACTATTGTAGTTTTTGCGGCATTTATGCACATAAAAGATACTAAAGAAAATCTTAACATATTAAATGTCTAAGGTCAATCAAGCTCTGGTTAAAGAAAAATGTCTCTTCTGGCTTTGAAAAATTACCCCGTTTTTGGAAATCCTATTAATTTTCTAGTGTTTTTTTAAAAAGAAGTCTCTAATGCTTTTATGCTTAATCGGAAGTACAGTAAAAACTGTAATATTGTAAAATATTATGACTATTTAAAATAACCTTTTTCTATTGTAATATATTTTAAAATGTAATTTATTCCTGTGATGGCAAAGATGAATTTTCAGCATCATTACTCCAGTCTTCAGTGTCACATGATCCTTCAGAAATCATTCTAATATGCTTACATGCTGTTCAAGAATTATGTATTAGTGTTATCAATGTTGAAAACAGTTGTGCTGCTTAATATTTTTGTGGAAACCGTGATACTGTGACTTTTAATGCACCCTTGTTGAATAGAAGTATTTATTTCTTAAAAAAAAAAGCCTACTGCCTTTTAAATGGTAGTGTATATTAGTGTATATGGTGACCCATACTTGGAATTAGTGCTCTGCATTTAACCTATCCAAAGTGCACACACACAGCAGTGAACACGCACACACCGTGAACACACACCCGGAGCAGTGGGCAGCCATTTTTTTTGCTGCGGCGCCCGGGGAGCAGTTGGGGATTCGGTGCCTTGCTCAAGGGCACCTCAGTCATGGTATTGAAGGTGGGAGAGAGCGCTGTACATTCACTCCCCCCACCTACAATCCCTGCCGGTACGAGACTCGAACCCGCAACCTTTGGGTTACGAGTCTGACTCTCTAACCATTAGGCCACAACTTATGAAGAGGAGTTATATATTCTGACATAACTGGTTTATATTTAATAACAATACATTGATTTGTTCATTAATTATAGATTAAATACATGCAATTAGAGCTTGTGTAGGTTCAATAATTTCTCTGTATTTATTGATATTATTTATTGATCATTTTCATTGTTGTGCATAATGGACAAAATATGTAATAAATGTAATGTCACATAAAATGTAAACATCAGTATAGGGTTGGAATAGTATCTGACCCAGTGGCTTCTGGACTCTGTATTCAGCATATGTCTCCATACAGGCAATTGATAATTAATGAACCAACAGACTATCGAGGCAAGGTAACTAATTATTCCAATATGGGACAAGGGTCAAATTTCTTCATCTGACTGAAGCACTTTTTCCCTGTTCTGATGATTTTTGGAATTTCTTTGTTCTCAGGTTGTGTGTGTGTGTGTGTGTGTGTGTGTGTGTGGTTTTTGACAGCAACTTGGACCCAGTGTCTGATGAGAAGGGTGGAGAGACGTCTGGAGTGTGTCACACGGCTGGCCGGCCCAGCATCCCAACCTGTTCAGCTAGATAATGGGTGAGATCCACAAAACCTGCTCAAACATTTCAGCAAATGGCCTCGATGGAAAGTTCTGCTCAGAGCGCTGGTCTTTGCCAGCCTGCTTAGAGAGAAAAGGGAAGAGAGACGAGATGATAGTAGGACAGAGAGAGACAAGGGGACTTGGTTTGTGCTAGTGCCCTTTATGATGGCGGTCTGATTCAATTTGTTCAATCCACCAACATCCCATTATATTTATAAAACTCTATAATAGCACGACAATACTACTGCAAAGTTTTACATCCTTGTTTATGTGTATTAAAGGGGTCCTATTATGCTTTTTCACTTTTTGAACTTTATGAATACTTAGGACCATGTGATATTTCAGTTTTTCTTTTTTAATAAATCTGCAAAAATGTCAACGATTCTGTGTTTTTCTGTCAATATGGGGTGCTGTGTGTACATTAATGAGGAAAAAAAAATAACAAATGATTTTAGCAAATGGCTGCAATATAAGAAAGAGTGAAAAATTTAAGGGGGTCTGAATACTTTCCGTACCCACTGTATGTGAAAAATAATGTGTTTTTCGAACAACCTAGTATGAGAGCCTGTTCTAGTACACCCCCAAAACAAAATCAAGACTTTGTCAAAGAGCATAATAGGACCCCTTTAAACACTAAAAATGAAGCCCAAAGCTCTTTCTGTCCCTCATGCCTCACCCGCATTCTGTATATGTGTTTGTGAGAGTGTATATGGATAGATGCTTTAGTTTGCAGCCTGAAAAGCAAGGTTGTCAGGGTTCATGGATCAGCGCAAGAATAGCTAAGTACTGTAAATGAAATGCACATTAATGCTTCACTTTGGTGTCTTAGATGAATACAGCAGGGGCCTTAACTGACGATTTGTTTAGCTAAATGAAGAGCGCGGCTTCATGTCTCTTTGTGCTGTACACAGTAAATACCACAGCAAGCACCATGTGTCCATTCCCAGCATTTGTTCAGGATTAAGGAAAGACAAGATCACAGATTTCCTTTCTCATCATCCATTTGCAGCTCTGTTTGTGCGGTGCGGTGTTTTTGTATTTACTGGGCTGAAACCAGCGTGAAGGCAAACAAGGTCTCTGCCTCTGGCAAAGTTAACAAGACCGCTTTCAAAAAGATGCAGAGGCTAAAAAAGAAAAGAGAAGCTTGTCATCTGAACTCAGGTCAAACCACAGAGACAAATGAGTGAAATTTCATTTGTGTGCCTCAATGCAGTGTGAATTATTCATCTTAAGTTGGCCCTAAAACATTTCTGTTAGGAATTTATTCATTTTAAACTCATGTTTATTCATAAAGATACTGAAGTTAAAACTCAAATGGATCCCCTATGTTTAAATGTTACCAGTTATATCTCTGATAAGGTTTTATATGAAGAAAGATTTCAGAGGATTGTGCAGAAAGCAAACGCTAATGATGAAATGCCAAGCAACATCTTATCACCAAAAAAAACATTTTAATGGATCCCCTATGTTTAAATGTTACCAGTTATATCTCTGATAAGGTTTTATATGAAGAAAGATTTCAGAGGATTGTGCAGAAAGATGACGCTTTCATTAATGATGAAATGCCAAGCAACATCTTATCACCAAAAAAAACATTTTTATTTAATGTTCCGTTGAAGTAAACAAGGTTCCTGGCGTAAAACTGAACATTAAAAGAAAATCAGAGAATAAATGAGATATCATGCATTCCTTCATTGGATAAACATCCAGTCTCTAAAATTACAAAAAAAAAGAGAATATAACTTAACAATAAAAAATAAGACTATTATTACAAGTTTGTTTTTACAGTTTATAATAATTTGAAATTTTCTAAAGTGTGCACCAAATAACTGTTTGTCTGTCCGATTCCTTCAGATTGATGCTTTCTCTTCTCTTTGTTCTCTGCGAAGGCCAAAAGAGATTCACATGTGATTTGAATGGATTAGAGAGGAAAAAAAAGAAAGGAAAATTAGATTTCAAAAGCGGATCAGATCATACGTTTTTGCAGTTTTGTTAGGAAATGTTCTAAAATGTGCTACACTACTCTGCTGAGTAGGAAAACAGGGACATAGTACCTATGAATTATATTCTCAGTGGGTGTTTGTGAGTATTAATACTGAAAAAAAGGGAGGAGAGCGTAGTCAGATAAGTGCATGCAACTTTTTGAACAAGTCTCTTTGGCCTTTCTCACCACAAGCAGGTGGAGACTTTTCTCAAAAAAAAAAAAAAAAGTTAACCAACATAAGATAGTGTTACCTCACTCACTCCAAAAGTGGCTTTTAATTCTTAATTTTAAAAATGCATACTTGGCGTCCATAACTCTAATGTAAATAACATTTGCTTCGAACATAATTTCTTTCCATTTAGTCAGTACAAGACTAACACAGCTTGGTTTAACCAAAGGCAAAACACTAACTAAAAGAGCTAAAACCTCAGGACAAACAAAAGGAGATTGCAAAAAAAGTTTGAACGTTCACTGAATCAGAGATGTGGTAATACTGCTATGGTTTGTGTTTTTTTTTAAACATGGAAGTGTCTCTCGTACTTCTTGTAAACAGCAATTTGAGAGTAATTCTAACCAGCTGAGAGAGAAAAGGGGGTAAAACACAACTGGCCAAATCATTTACTGCTTCCACTGAAGTACCTTGTTCTGAGCAGAAACGTGAGAAGGCAACACATTCGGTTTAGCACTGATAATGGATTCATAAATATCCCTTTGGGTCACAGTCCTTGTCTCAAACAGATACGGACTAAACCTTGAAGTCTGTCTCTCTCTTTCTCATTGTTTGTCTGAGAAATGTGCATTTACTAACCCAGCTCACAAAAATATGTTCTAAGAACGTTTTGCTAACATTCCCATTAAGGTTATTTCTGCATGTTCTTTGAACATTAAAAACATCCAGTTATAGAAATGTAATTTTTTTTTTGGTTGAGGGAAAACGGAATTTTATAATTTTGCAAAAATGATGGGACTGTTATCAGAACATTTTGCAGCATTTGAACATTTGGACATCCAACTAAAACTTTTCAGAAATAAAACATTCCATAAATGATGTATAAATAACAATGTTCCATGAACGATGTATAAATAAAATTTTTGTGCTACTGTTTTGAGTACATTATTAAAGACCAGATAACTAAGCAAAGATGCTATTAACATTACTGGAAGGACATTTGTTCATAACTTTGAACCTTGCCAAACTTCGGAGAACTTTGCTTGTTAGCTGGGAAGGAAGGGCTGGAGTTGTAGTGTGTAGGCTGACTGAACTTATCTCTCAGCTCAGGACTATTGTTGGCAGGTGACAGTTGAAGTTTTCCATTTTAGAGACAAAATAATGTCGTAGTCACAGCCAGATTGAGATTTTAAGACAAAACATGCAGAAATGGCCTTAGGTTCATGAGCATGTCTTTGTGACTTGTGCTGATTTAATTTTAAGGTCATCAGCTCCTGTAGGCTACACACTCCTGTCGTTTCAAGCGTTTTATTTCGTTCAGAGAGGACATGAACTGTACATTCTCACTAATCTCTCCTTTGAGATGCATGAAGGCACTTTGGTGCGATACAATACAAATTTCTGATTTATATCAAAATAAGTTAACATTGCAAAAGTGTCTCGTTCAGAAATACTGTCGTTACTGACAATTCATCAACACTTATCAAAAAAGCTTGTGCGACCCAAAGGAAATGCACAAATCGGTGAACTAAACAAATGCTGCATTTCAGGGCACTTCATCGTACTCATAATAACAATAAAAACAAACGAACCAAAAACTGCATTCTTTACCAGTACCACAAAGTAATAAACAATATTCAAAACAACTGAATTCCAAAAGTAGAAGAGCGGGATCTTCTGCGTATGTTTGTGTGCATTAATATTTGTGCAGGATAGGCACTTTAACAGTCTTGATTTCAGCTATGTGTGAGGATTTCTGGATGATGCAGCTGGTGGTGGCGGCGGTGGCCGTGTCCTTGGGCTGAGCCAGGTTAGTGAGGGCCATGGCCGCGTTGATCTCCCTCCAGTATGTCTCGTCTTTCCTCTGTCCCTTCTCCTCCTGCATGCTTCTTCTGTTAACATACAAAAGGCCTGTTATTGAAAGATGCTCGCTAGCTGTATTCGATGTCATTCATTTAAAGCTTAAACCAAACGTTTAGACACACTGGTCTGGCAAATTGTTTTTCACATACCAGTTCCAGTCATACGCACCTGTCAGATTTATTTGATCCATGCTCCACAGTCTCTGTAAATACAAGCACAGGACAAACCCAGTGTCAATAACAAAACACTGTATCTTAATGCTGGCAGATGTGACAGGCAGGAAAAGTCAGAGTAAGACTGTAAGTAAACATTCGGAGGACTTGTTTATGTGTAGAGCTGTGCTACTTGTGTGAATGGAGAGAGATGCTTCAGTAACTGAGTCTTGTTTCCATTTACTCTGTGAATGGTGGAATCTTCCATATCCAGATGCTTGGCACAATGATAATGTGTTATTTGTTAAATGCAGAGGTCAGTAACACACTTGAGGCTAATTACTTAATGATAATCAGCAGTTCCTCTACCACACACGCACACTCACACTCATTTGCACAAGGGTGTAAGTACTGACAAATTAAACATTTTTGTATATAACCAAAAACACATCTAAGTGATTTATTTTTAAATTATACAATTAAATTATATGTACATAATTGTCTTTTATATTGTCATTGACCCAAATATTAAATGGTAAATATTAAAAGTAAATATTAAATATTTAACTATTTAGTTGACTTATATATTTAGTTGACATATTGGCATGTTTTCCATAGACCCTCCAAAGGTGCGCCACCTATGTGTGGATGTCTCTACAACAGAATAAAAAAAAGATAATTGCGACTTTTATTTCACAATTCTGACTTCATTTCTTCCAATTCCAATTTATATCTCGCAATTTCTTTCTTTCTCAGAATTGTAGGTTTATAACACACAATTCTGACTATTTCTTGCCATTTTGAGTTAACGTCTTGCAATATTGTTTTCAGAATTCTCACATCTTACAATTCTGACTTTCTCAAATTTGTGTGTTTATAACACACAAATCTGTCTGTCTTGCAATCTCAGGTTAATATCTCGCAATTTTGAGTTAACATCTTGCAATTTTCAGTGGCGGCTCGGCAGGGGAGGCACAGCTTCCCCATAATTTTGAGGTGAAAATGGGAGGATGACGATTTAATGTTAATAAAATTCACAATTCATTTTAGTTCGTCTCAGAATGTGTATTTTTTGTTTGTAATTTCACAGTTGTAATACCATAACGTGAAAGCGCTGCTTTTCCTATCGCGAATGTGCCGAATCTGCTGACGTAATTACAACCGCTAATGATAGAGAAGGGTAGGGGGAGGCCGGGGGAGAGCTGAGCTCTCGTGCCTCCGTTGGTAAAAAAAATTAGCCAATCACCATCGAGTGTTCACTTTCAGCGCTGAGGAGTGTTGAGAAAAGAAACCTCGTAGGGGAGGCTAGCCTCCCTTCTGGTATATCATCTATATTATCTTGTATGTGTGTCGTTTTCTTTACGTTTTCTGACTAAAAGCAACCAAAAAGCCATTTTAAAGTGGTTAAGCAAATAATAATAATAATAATAATAATAATTGGCAGGGATCCCAGACCAATACAATTAGTGTGCCTCCTTTATTTTAAAACCCACAAGCCGCCACTGGCAATTTTTCTTTTTTAAATCTCAGAATTCCGGGTTTATGTCTAAGGGGCAGCTAATTTTGTGACAAAAGGAACTGTCTGTATCACAAATGCATATTTAGTTCAAAAAATGTTTTGGTACATTCCATTTCATATTCATATTAGTGCACAAAAAATAACTTATTACATTCACAAAAGGAATATTTCATTCACTAAATACATTTCATCAACCAGACCAACCCTTTCATCTACTAAATTAGGCACATCATCAGGCTGATGCACCCAAGTGATTTCAGCATTCAATATTAAATCGATTGTAAATCATGAGGCTGCTAGTCTTAAATTGCAAGTACAAACTGCCCCAAATTATAAGCAAGTCTTGTTTTTCCTCTTAATGTGCATGCATAACCCTGCAATCTTTTAAAAAGATTGTGAAGAGGTGTATATGATATTATGCTGATCTCTTACTGAACATGACAGTTATGGTTTAACAGGCCTCACACTTTCATCTAGGATGACTTTTACAGGCACTGAATCATTCTCTAAATCCAGATCCAGGGTAGGGTTTGTTCGGTGAGTTAAACCCCATGCCTTTATTCCGGATGTCTCGGTTCTCTCCCCTGAGGCAGCGCTTCGCATGCATTCACCTCATCCCATCCCAAACCTTGTGCTTGCACACCCCTTGGATCCGGAACGGACACTAGAGCTCTGCCCGAACACCTGCAGGGCCAAACAGCACCTAATCATTCCCAACGCTCCGGTGTTAAACTTGGTTTTCCTTAAAAAACGTTCACATGTGCGCTGAATGGCAACTGGGTGTTGAGGAAAGGCCAGCAGACCATTACTGCCTGAGGCTGATTGGGACACATCCTGTTGTGCTCAGCAATAGTTTTACACGGCTGAGAATGAGTGTGTTAGTCAGAATAACAGTGAGCTCTCCCCTCGAAACTTACAGATGTGTTTGGGATTCAGTTAACCAAACCGGAGTGTGTGACTGTGAAACAAGTAGTTCATGTGAAGATGGAACAACTAGAGATTCTCCGCTCGGAAATCTCGCCTTAATTTGTCCAGTCTGAGTTTGATTTCTATCAGTATCTTTCTGAAAGATCCCACGATGTTCCTGTCACAATATGTAATGTCTTTTATTTTCTTTGACTGTATATCTGTGTCAGGTTCACTGTGCTGATGTATCACTTTTCTCTTTCTGTATCTCTCTGTATTTACAGGATTTGGTTGTGGTAGTTGTCTGTTCTCTATTGTAGATAAGCTCTTGCTCTCAGAGGGCTTTGTGATTTGCACTTGATACAAACAACACATCTAGATCTGTTTTTTGTCAAACGCAGGTATTCAGTCCTTCGCTGCACATGCCATTAAACATTGAAAATATTACACTGCTCTTCCCACACA